TTCACTCTCCACATTGTAGGGCTTAGCTCACCACTTCATTGCTGTTTTTCCCTCACTTCCCCTTATCAGTGATGAGCGTGGTCACCAATCAGAGCGTGTATTCCCATTGAGTCTTATTCTTTGAAGGGGGTTTGCACTGAGGGGACCCAACCACTTGCCTTGATGTTTCCTGGGCAAGCAACTTATTTGTTCTTGTAGTAACAGTCCATCTGCCTCTATTGTTTTATATTTTTCCTGTAGGCCTTTCTGTCAAGAAGTATCTTCTGTTCTTCTAGCCGCTCCAGGCTGGCCTGCTTGTCCTTTCAAGTGGAAATTTCCCATCTCTGGAGATCTGGATGTGGTTCAGGCTTCTACCTATACTCTTATGTATTGCAGAGGCTCTTCAGGAAGCCTCCTTCACTGGGCACGTTGTAGCCCCATTTTAGGTATTCCAATCAGTTATAGGTAGAAGACGGACTTACAAGCTTTCTATGGTGATATTTCTGACTATTCCTTTCTTTCCCCCTCTAGTGTCTATTTTATAGTATAATGCAAGGAAAACCAAGATTCAAAAGACAGCCAAGCATCTTGACATTATTCCCCCCTTTTCCCCATTCCAACCATGTCTCAATCTCTGTATCCCAGAGCCCTGTAGTTCCAAGGTTGTGCATATATCATTCTTTACCTCTGTCCCACTTAGCCCATTCAAACATGCCTAATTGTTCTTCCATCTGCTTTGTTCTTCCATTCCCCTCTCCCTTCTTGTATATTGCCCCCTCCCTAGCACCCAAACTTTCCTGTGTCTAATCCTTGCCCTGTGCTCCACCTTCCCCTCCATCCCCTTACCTACCCCCAACATCCCAGCAATCAACAAAGAATTCCTCCCACCCCCCTTTAGTATGGGTTCTTTTTTCTTAGTCTTTTACAGTATTTCTCTTTTTGTGACTGACTAATTTCACTCAACATAATGTCCTCAAGGTTCATCCATGTTATGCGGTGGTTTGCCGCTTCCTTGTTATTCTTCAAGGTAGCATAATATTCCATTGTGTGTATGCACCACATTTTGTTTATCCATTCTTCAGTTGATGGGCACTTTGACTGCCTCAATCTTTTTGCTATTGTAAATAGTGCTGCTATGAATATTG